CAGGGACATGCAGCTAGTTACTGCTGATTCAGCAGCCCTCAGTCTTCTCTCAGGAGTAATCTTCATCGTGATGAGCTAATGGGCTGAAACCACCCAAGATTTTCCAGAATAGCTGACTTGGTAGATCACATCCTGTTTAAATTTACATTGCATTCAAAAAGGCAATGAAATTTCAACACTTTCTTACTGCTTATGTTAGTGGGCCGGTCAGCTTCATGAGTGACATGACGTGGCAACTGTCCTGCTGCTCTTTAATTTACTACTTGTTAGCATAGTTACCCCAAAAGCACTGCTGTGTGTTTGCGCTCTAGCAATATAGAAAGTTTCAATTTAACGTTAGCCAGTTCGTGTAGTGCCATTTTTTTTCCTTTTGCAGTTTACACAAGTCTTCCAGAAGATGTGTGAGACCTAGCACCTAGATCTTGCCAAATAGAGATCATGCTTCCAAAGAAGGGGAACGCTGAGAGGCTTTTTGTGAACTATACAGAGAAACTACGAAGATGAATTCCCAGCCAAAAATGAACTGAAAGAGTTGAAATCACAATTAATTGCCCAGCAGCCGATCTTTACAAAGCCCAGCTTGAAAGCAAAAGCTGCTAACGTAGCGTCATAATCCTGGGTGAGTCATGTTATTGTGAAACACATGGCGAGCTGGTCAATAAGGCCTTAGTTGAGGCAGCAGACTCATTGTTTCAAGATTTTAAAAAGAAAACGGAGACCGTGTCAGCTAGTCACTCAGTTGTCCAGAAGCCCAGTTATAAGTTACCATTACTGGCATCAGCAGCTACTGTCCAGACTACACAAACCTAGCTGACACAGTTCAGTGCAAATCATCAGAATAAGGTTAGTGTGATTTTTCAGTCGTTTTCCCTGTAATGCTGAAAATATAAATATAGGCCACTGAAGTGCATTTAGGTTTAAAGCTTTTAAAAGGTAAAAAACCAACCTATTTTTTTTTTTTTTTCGGGAGATCACAATGACCTGTCTACTGAAAAAAGAGAATACACTTTTCTGAATATTCATTATGAAACAATGTGTCACCAAAATGACAGTTATCTCTCTCTCACACCTTCTCCCTCTCTCCTCTGATGTTACTGTTGAACAGGAAGTCAATATCTCATGCGTTAGTGTCGCCAACACTCCTCCAGCCCACACCAGTTCAGGCCCTATGGTTCAGTTTTGACCTACTTAAATCACATTGCAGACTCAATGTTGTTGGCCTTCTCCTCCAGCTCTTTTCCACTTGGACTGCTGCATCACTGCTGGTTTCACACACTGTCCAACCCTGCGATCAGCCACACAGCTGCTGAGTAGGGAATGGCCTGTCTCTCTCAGAGGCACCTCATCAGAAGGCATGGCAGGCAGTGTGCCAGGTCACAGTTCATGTAGCCATTAAAAAAGGCTCGCGAATCCATTGACATTTTTTCGGTATCACTGCTGGGCTGCGAACAGTAAAAGCACTAGAGTTAACCTCTACTCAGTAAATCTTTACAGTTCACAGCACTCAAATGTATTTAATCAATATGGATGGGAGAAATACCTGTAGAAAAGTGAATGCTGGCATGACATTGTTCAATGATATGGATTTTGCTATGTTGTGGTTACCGTTGTGCCTCTGCACTGTGTTATCTAACAGTGGAGGCACTAGCAGGCCATAAAATCCTGGCGCGCAAAAACTCTTTTGCATAATTTAAAAACTCCAGTAACCCTTTGCATTGTGTTAAAATTTCACGTTGAAGGGACCAAAAGAAACAGTCAAAAATGATCAATTTTCTATATCATGATATCACATTGTTACTGTCCAGATAGTTAAAGGTATAATGACATGAGTTTCAGTTCATATTCTCCACTGCTTAGCTGTCCATTATTCCTGTGTTGCGTTGTGAGTACCACAAAGTTACCAAGCAATGTGAGATCAATTTCAAAGGCACAGGGCAGATAAAAAGGAATTATGTGGCTGTCGTTGTTGTTGTTGTTGACCCTTAAATGCCCTGTGACCCTGCTGTGAGCATTTTGTGTCACATACCTTGGCCTGCTGTTAACATTTCCACAGTGATCCTGGAACTCTTGTGCTGTGGCATTCCTGGGAATACTGCAGTCCGTCCTCACAAATGCCCGCTCGCTGAACACACACACTTCTGTGTGTAAACACTGAGCTAAAAATAGAGCTATGTGTGTCTGTGTGTGCACATTTGAGGGAGGGCAAATGAAGGGAGGCTGTGGAGAAGCAAGAAGCATCCATCTGGCATTCTGCCTTTGCCCTAGCCAATAGCAAGGACTTGCAGAAAAAATGAAAAGGGTTAGATTTTTTAGTAAAGCAAAGATTAAACAGGCAGGGCTTGACAAGTCATTTTAGTGCTAATGAAAATGAGAAGTAGTGATTAAAAATAGTTTATTTCCTTTGCTTTCCTGTGCTGGTCAGTGCAGACAAGTTCAAACAGTTTGAGCGACAGCAGATAAACGGCTGTGTGGTTCAGTTTCATAGGGACTTCATATGAGCTATTTGTTTTCAGTGATCATGCCAGGTAGGAAGAAGGGTACAACACCTAAAGATTTCTCCACCATAGGAAAACAACAGAAGCAGAAAGGAACGTTCCCGCTCTAGCTTGTCTACACCATCTGTAGCCATCTGTTGTTCTCTGTTGTTGAGGACATTGGATTTTGTGAAACATACTGTAGCCAATATACTGTACTGTATTTTAGTAAGTTTATTTCATGTAAAAAATGTATTGTTTTTTTGTTTTGTTTTTGGTTTTCAGTACTAAGTTTTGATTCTTGGCCAAGAATTTTCATTTTGGTGCATCACTGTTAATAATATTTTTAACTTAATTTAATAACTTTTTTTTTTTAATCAAGTAAAATTGTCATGTTAACTGTTTTTGCTCATCAGTTTGATTTGTCTGTAGGTAAAACATGGTGTGTTAGCCTATAAAAGTAAGATTTAAAAGTATAATTAGATTTTAGGTTAGAGCAGTGAGAGCAAGCTGTTCATTTTACAGCTGCAGACTCTCTCACTCACATATGTGCCCATATATTGACCACTACCTGTGTTGCTGCCTTTGCAGTTACAAATGTAGAAAGTTGACTCTTCTTCCTCATCCCTGTGCTCTGAGTGAACAACGCCTATAATACAGGCTTGACATTATTTATTCAGTATTGTTCTGCATGTGTGGTGTGATGATGTCTTACATATGCGTTGTGGCGATATACGCACCTGTGTGTGTGTGTGTGTGTGTGTGTGTGTGTGTGTGTGTGTGTGTGTAAGGAATGAGAGGGAGAACACAGCAGGAGATTTAATGTCAGAGGGAGTACAGGACTGCTGTTAGTCGTCCACAGTATAGATGGATCTGTTTGTTAGGCTGTTTGGATAGCTGCCTTTCTAAGTGAGATGCTTGTCCCGACGTGAATAGTTACACTTTAATTGAACCTCGGCTTGGATAAATATTTGTCTGTGTTCAGAGCATCGTTTTCATTCTTGCACAGATTTGCAGCATCACTTACCACCTTGAAAATGCCTTATTTGTTAAGAGTAGCCTCAGTTTGTTTGCATTTTGGCAAGAATGTGAAGGATAACTCACCCAGTAATGTCTGCGTCTGGCAGAACTTTGCAGTGTTGTGTCTCGGGAGCTCAAGAGGGCAAGATGAGGACTTGCGTTCAAAAGACTAGAAATTTAGGTCTGAACATAATATAGCATACGCTCTACAGTGCACTTGTGACAAGAGACTGGGTACGTTTTCAGTAGTATATAGTAGCAGACAAGGATGTGGTATAGGTTCGATGGAACTGAGAGGGGGCAGTCAGAGGGGGTGACGGGTGTAATTGGCTGATACTGTGCACACGTTCCTCCTTCCCTTATTGCCTGTGTAATTCCTCTTTTATCATACACCAGGTGGTTAAGACCAGCGAAACTTGCTTAGACCACAGAGTGAAATACCTGTGACAGAGCTGACAAGTGTGGGCTGTCATTTTGTTTTGCATTTCTCTTTTGCATTTCTTTTTAATTTCATATGCCTGTTTGGTATGAAAATTTTGTAACTGATACCAATTTTAATCTTAAAATTCCTGTAACCAGTAATGTTTGCTGATATAATTTTACATGTTCAACGATTAAACAACTTTTGTCATACAGTACTTTATTTGCTAAACGTTCTCACTTGTAGTGTTTCCAAAGAGACTGGCAAGAGACCGTGAAATCACTAAAGGGCCCATATCATAGAAAAACACATTTTCCTCGCTTTTTTGAAAGAAGAGTTTAAAGTAATGTGCATTTGTTTTAAAATGTATGATTCACTACCCAGTCCATACAGTCCATTTATGGAAACTAAGCTGCAAACGGCCCATTTTGAATAAATTTTTTCTGTGATTTCATATTTTTATCTTTTCAACTGTTCAGCCTCCAGCAGATTAGCCCCATGCATTCGTACTGAAGTTCTAAGGAGTGTTTTAGCTCTTAGTGCTTTATGAATGAGAGACAATACAGGGCAGCCAATCAGAACAGAGCTCATTTATCTTATGAGTCTTAGATACAGTAACAAAAACAGCCTGTTAATTCAAAGGGATAAATAGAGGTTGGAAAATGATACTGTTACATGAATTAAGACCATTTTGGTGCATAAACCCATGTATGTTATAAGGGAATAAAATAAACTAAAAATGATGATATTGTCCCTTTACAGTTCTAACAGTGATTCTCCTGATGTTAGAGCCACATGTACATTACAACATAAATCAAACCACTTAAATATCACAAATATTCAATATAATGTTATAAAATAATAAAGTTATAATTTGTGTCTTATAGCCATGATATATTGTTTGCACCCTGTTTTTCCACATGCGTTTTTGGTATAACCTCTCAGTTATGGACATAATTAGGGAAAAGGTTGGTTAGGAAATAACTATTAAGAAGCCTGTATTTTGTTTTTTATTAAGTACCTTTGCATAAATCTATATACTGGAAGATTAAGTATCCTTTCTTTCCTCATTTTCTCTCCTGCAGTATGAATTGCCATGACTGCTGGTGCAGGCCAGGATTCAGAACCCAAGCAGAATCAGAGTCAGAACCAGCAGCTCCATCCAGCTGAAGCACTTCCTTCACCCAAAACACCAGACGTGCCTTTCATAGGTGGACACACCAGCCCATCCACACAGCACCAGGTGAGCCTGCTCAGCACACAGCTGCACCTGCCCGTCTTATTAACTTTCTCTCTGAGAAAGAAAAAGGTGTTTCTTTCTCACACCATATCACTGTAAAGAATATAGAAAACTAAAGTTTTTGGCCTGAAGAAAGTGAAAGATTAACTAGGTCTCCGGTGAAGTGTCAAAATCACTTAATAGTAATAGTAATTAAAAATGCTGTTTATGTCCTTCACTCTCCTGCGCTGGTCCTCCAAGGAGCATTCAGACAGTTTTAGCAGCAGCAGACCAGAAGTAAACCTCTTAAACACGGTCCTCTGCAGCTGTGTTTTGTCTTTAACTTACATGCTTCGTGGCATTAACTAATATAATGAAATTATTTTACGGAAATCACAGAAGTAATACTTTTCGTAATAAACTTTTTTAACCACTGATTTTGAAAGTTGTTACTGAGACCGTAGTAAGCTAAACACCTAAAAAAGATGGTTCTTCAAAGGTTCTTTACTGAAGAAAATGGTTCTGTATAGAACCATGAACAAAGAATCCTTTACATGATTAAAGGGTTCTTTGTGTCGTGAAAGGGCCCTTCAAACTGATGGAGAATGTGCTGTAGATGGTTCTATGTAGAACCTCTTTGAAGAGGGTGCTATGTAGCACCAAGAAGGATTCTTCTATTGTAACAAGCCTGACATTGTAACAGTGGAAGAACCCTTTTTTCAAATTATAACATTTACTTTTGTACAATGCAAATGCAGAAGAATGAATAAAATGCAGGTATTTGTAGCACAGTAGCCCAGGATTCTACTCTTCCAGAGTAAATATTGTCAAATATCAGTTTGAAATATCAGCAAAATCTAAACATCTGTCCAGGGCTGATTATTTTAAGCAATTATCTGTTGATACCAATATGATTTAATATCATTGTGCATCCCTAAATAGAAATATTGTCATTGGGGAGAGGGAGGGTGGAGCTTCCTATTCTAAGCAGTTTCATTGGTTTCTATTAATTGGCTCTTATTTTTTTTATATATTTTTTTTCATACGCAGTTTTTTTGTGTGTTACACTATACTAAATGCTAAATGTTTGTATTTTACATGTTTAATAGCTACGTAATACACAATATGTAATAAATGTTAGGAAGAGGTGATAAATTGTGAGTCACACTTACTGCTAGACTCTAAAAGGTCTGGTATAACAGCAGGAGCCCACAGCATGAAACGATTAGAAATGAGAAATTCTGAAACTTCCTGTGCATACTTATGCAACTAGTCATTTATGCAGTTATCTGCACAAATATAAAAAGAGTCCGGCGTACCCACAGATCTAGAATGTCTCTCTCATGTGTTTATTAATAACTCTGATATGCAGTAAACAAACTTTTTGGCTCAGGGCTTTCTGGTCGTAGAGAGGTCTTAAAGGGGCGTTCCACACAAAATCCACAAAAAGGTTGATATCTACTCTCTTTGATATCAGTGGAAAAACATTCTGTAGCTGGGCACAATAACAGCTATCACAATAACAGTTGCTTTAGCTTAAGAAAAATAAGCAGGGCGGTTAGAAAAACAGTACGTTTAACAGTCAGACTGACCTACAACATCACAACAAATCTATATCTGCGTAATATTTTATTCTGGTTTGCGTAAATTATTTCTTTAACCTGTTTCTTTTGTGACAAATCTGATTTCATTTTGACCCTAAATTTACCTTTCATGTTCTTAGTGTTAATTCACAATTTTTTAGTTCAGGCAGAAAAAGGAATCACCTGTTCACACAGGAATCAAATTCTGGATTTTGGGTGTGATGCTCCTTTGAATTCCCCCAGCATGGGCATGATCATGGCTAAAACTGTAAACTGCTCACAATATCTCTGTTGCTACAGTGCAGGGTGAAATACAGCCCCATTAAACAACAACTTTTTAAACCATTTAAGCATCAATTTAATCATAACATTCATTAGCTGTTCTTTACATTAATTAGATTAGATTACTTTTCTACTTAAATACTAGTAGATAATCAATAAGGATCGAAGATCAATAGATTACAAGTTCAATCGTTATGGCGCTGGCATTTTCTTGTTGTTGTCACTTGCACAAATAATTACCACTGTTACGGCTGGTACATAGTCGAAGGCCTTGACAAAGTTTCTTTTTGACTGTATGCCACACAGTAGTTAAGTTCCAAGCTCATTCATTACTGTACGAATGAGTCCTCTATAGCCTGTTTGTTAGTCTTTTGCTCTCACCACCATGTCCCATTGTGATTAATGTTACTTTTCAAGGAGTACTTTAGTCATACTTTGAAACTGGAGCTAACCCAAGTAAACAGGTAATTGTTGTAGTATTGCTATTGGAAAGTCAAATTTAGGTTGTCAGCACCTTTTACCTGCTTTGGAAATTGTAAAATGCCCCATTCAGAATTCCTTTACCTTAGAAAAGCTTTACAGTCTTTCCACCTGACTTCAGGAGCAGAAAAAGACATCCTATTGTGTATGCTTTGTCTTATTTTGAGCCACTGATACGCACATTTATCTTATTAATACAGTACTGTGCAAATATCAGAGACCACCCTTCATTCATTTCATTTCCAGTCAAAATGGCCATTAAGTAAGTGTTTTTTAGTAGCTATTTCTGAAAAGATTAGATAAGATAATCCGCCCGCAAACGAAAATAAGTGAAATAAACAAACTAGAGTTTCCAAAAGTTACAGAGAAAATGGGGCCCATGCAAGACCTTGTAGACCATCAGAAAGAGAGAGAGAGAGAGAGAGAGAGAGAGAGAGAGAAAGAAATCAAGCTCCACTCTTGCTTCAGATCTAAAACAATCCCCAGGTGTTTCTGTCCATCCTTCAACTGTGAGAAGACAACTTAACACTATGAGGAACCATTACTGAGAAAAGGAAATTGACAAAAAAAAACAAGAGAAGCTGCTGGTGTTCTCAGATCGTTAGACTGACCACCCCAGGGTCCAGATCTCAACATCACTGAATGTATTTGTGATTGTTTGGATGCTGAGAAGCAGAAAATGCAACTTTTGAGACTGGACTTTGGAGACATAGAAACACATCCCTGCAGATTTATTTGAAAAACTGAAAGCCTGTCAAAGGCAAAGACTGGACACACTAAACACTGAAAAAAAATGAATATTCAGTTAAGCCTTGCTGAAAATGTTGAAAAATGAATAACTTGTACTTAACAGCCATTTTGACTGGAAATTAACAAATGAAGGGTGTTCTTTGTTGCACAGCACTGTATAAAGTAATGATGTACAGTTAATTATGGTTGAATAATCAAATTCCATATTTTAGAGAGACAGTAGGAGGCTATCAGTGAAATTGATTTACAGATTGTACCTGAATTGAATTCCTCTGAGAGGCACTCCTACAGCACACTATTTCTAGATCTTGCTAGATTACGAACACTCATATTATGTAACTCGATTTGCTAAATCCCCACTGAGCGTGATTTGGCACCACAGCCAAGGGCACACAGAACAACCTGCATAATGAAGTAGCACTCACTGAGGCTGAAATATGTGTTATTCATATAATGAGGTGCAGTATATGTGGAATTTCGTTTTGGTTTACTTGAATTAATTAATTATAAATTAATTATACATTAATTTATAAGTATTGTCCTGAAGGTTAAAAAGGGATTTTAAAGGCTGTAAGTTTTCAAATTGTGACTTGAATTGATTAATAATGCATTAAACCACCATTATGTCTCTTCAGCAAAGTGGAGAAGAGGACTACATATCCCAGAAGTCTTTGAGCAGCAGGCTTTCCAGGACCTCTCTAGGCAGCACCCACAGGCTGAAGAACATGCAGTGCAGGATAACCCTGTTAGACGGCTCCGACTACACCTGCACAGTCGAGGTGGGTAGGGTCGGGAGCGGGGGGCCCCAACAGGTGGGGACAGACAGAATAAGACTAACCGGGGACTTTTTAGTTTATTTTTCAGGACCAGTGAAATGAAATTGTTAATGAAATAGGCATAATAACAGGAGAGGTGTATAAAGCGAAGTATAAATATGAAATATAAAAATGTGTAATTATTGTTATGTTTATTATTTTCTAAAAATTAATGTTATGGAATGTTATTAAGTGATGAGTAAACAACACTGCAAAAGTCAGAAATCACCCTGTTTATTTAATTTCACCCTATTTATTAAATCAAAGGAAAGTGAATGGAAAAAAATGAAGTTTACAGAACTGCACACTTAAAATGATGGTTCTACAAGGGTTCTTTAGTAAAGAAAATGGTTCTTTATAGAACATGAACACTCAAAGAACCCTTTGCATGATTAAAGGGTTCTGTGTAGCACCAGGTTCTTCTATTGTAACAAGCCTGACATCATAACAATAGAAGAATTCCTTTTTTGGATATACAAGCAATGATGATTGGTTGAATGATTAAACATGAAAAATGAAGACTGAAGACCCTTCTGACTCGTGTTTTAGCTTTAACTAAACATTTCAGCCTTAAATATGCAGTGTGCCTCAGTAAACATGTCGCAGGTTGATTTATTAAGTTATTTGTTTTCTCCCTGGAGTCGACTTATGAAGGCCTTGGCATAAGCTAATTAGTTGAATCAGGCTGTTATAGGAGGGCAAACACTGACGGTACTGTGACCCTGTAGGGCCAAGGTTTGACACCTCTGCAAATTTAAGATAAATTGACTCTATATCTCAGTCTATAGCTATCCCTATAGCTCATAATACACTGACCTGGTGGGCTCGACAGCTTATTGATGTTCTTTGGGGGGAAAATAACAGTTGTGGTGCAGTTGGGGTTAAAAGACTGGTATACTAAGCACTGCTTAACTCAGATCTCCTTAGTGCCAGGGTGGATTTCAGCAGGAGATTACTGAGTGTTTGTGAGAGTTTGGAAGTCAGGGGTTTGGCTTTGGGAAGATGTCAAATACTTTGATGTTGTGGTTTAGCTTCTGTGTTTAGCTCAGAATTGAGTCTCTTACAGTTGACCAGACTGAAAAAGTGGTAAACCGGCATGTTCTGGTTGAATTATAAAGGTTCACTGCATCATCAAGGAATTAGTTGTGTTGTGATTATTTTGCTACATGCAAAATATAGATCGCAATATATGAAAAAACACACTGGTGAACTTGTAGGTGACAAATTGGAGAGGATTGATGTAACAACTTCATGATTAGCCTTCAGTAGATTTGGTCTGTATTATTTTGTTATGATAAAATGAGACCAAAGAACATCTGTAATTGGTCAGGTTGCTCACAGCACACAACAAAAAATTCAGTGATTGATTAGATATGTTGCAATTCGAAGACTTATATGATATCAGTATTATGAATAGTATCATGAATTGCAATAATGATTAACATATGATTCATTTTACATCCCTAATACACAGCAGTCAGGTCTCTTCAGCAGAAAAGCTTTACCTTGTTTCCAAGCCTGGATGCATACAGAAAGTCTAATCTGCCAAACCAGCTTAGTCTTTGTTCGGAGTCCCACTGTTTCCCCCCACTGTTAGCTTTGATATCCCAAATTACGGTTGGCAGTTTTGTGCACAATCAGCTACATTGTCCCAGTTTCATGATTAGCATTCTTTCTAGCAGCATTGCTAATTGGATTGCAGCTAGTACTGCTGTGTGAACAAGTTATATGAAACCATAGTGTTCCTAGTTGCTATGATTCTGCATAACCCAACGGATATGGAAATACAAGGAATCTTTGCAGCATCTTTTGCTCTTTTTCCATGACTTTAGTGTTTGAGAAGAATATGAGCTGGGCTAGGTTACTGGTGTGGAGTATATTTAACTGTAGTATCATATGCCTGGTTGTTCATTCCAGTTGTGAGCAAGCTCAGAAGTAATGGGGATTATTTTGATGGGACGTGGTGTTGCTCTGACAGTAGCTGTTCCTGTCAGATTAGCTGACTGCCTTCACACAAGTTAAACCACAGCAGCTCAACACACACCTCTGTGTGCATGTTGGATGATATTTAGGTAGACATGGATGGGCAGGAGGGAAGAACTCAAGACCAAAACAAAGTTGAGACTTTGAGAGAAAATAGGTTTCTTTTTTCTAAAACACACCACCTATTTAGAAAAAAATGAATGCAAGACGCTGAACGTAGTTACAGAGAACATAAATGCATGACTGTACGTGGCATTTTAAAGAGAAATTTGACCCATTAAACCATCAAAGCATTCATGTTTGTGAGTAGGTTAATGGTCCTAAGCACTATTCAAGCTGGATTAATTTTATCAGAGTCATTTGTTAGGTAATTTATAACCGATTTCTTTAAGAAGACGTTTCTGTGTAATCTCTGTTTGTCACAAATGGAGTTCAAGGTCATACCCCAGAATTGTTTGTCTTTGTTACCCCACAGATGTGATACTAAATAAAAAAACAACCCAGAACTACCATTACTTGAAGAGATCCAGGTTCAGTCAGTTAAGGAAGGTTATTCACTCTGGAATTGTTGCTTATCAGTCTTAGGAAACTATAGACACTTTGTACTGGATTAACATTATGGATCTTTTCTGTGATCCATTAAATTACAGAGCTTTAGCAGGTACAAATAATCCAGCTTCAGTGGGGCTTAAGCTTTGCTTTACTGCAGTTTAATTTAGACTGACTTTCAAAATCACACATCACCACTTTTACCCTTGTGTTATTAATACAGAGCTCTGTTCTGTATTGTGTCAACAGAAGAAGGCCAAAGGGCAGGTCCTTTTTAATAAAGTATGTGACCATCTCAATCTCCTAGAGAAGGACTACTTTGGCCTCACGTACCGCGATGCAGAAAACCAGAAGGTACAAGTCCAGAGTTTATCATTACTCTTCACCCTTATCACTTTTCTTTTTACCTCTTTTCCCAGAAACCATAAAATGCAATCTAAGCCTGTTGTGGATGTCCATTTGTTCGGACTTGGATTTTAATATTTTTAATTAAATTTATATTTTATTAATATTTTGAATTTATATTTTTGAATGCTGTTTAATCATGTTAACAAAAATATCAGTTGAGTCACTTTTCATTCCGCCTCAAAGTGGCCTACAGAAAAGGGTTAATGTCTCTCTAATAACTTGTAACTTTGAATTATGTCTTTAATTCACATAAGTTTGTGGTTTCTTCACAGAACTGGTTGGACCCTGCCAAAGAACTGAAGAAGCAAGTCAGAAGTATGTCACACACCTGTTGCAGCATCTTTGAAACCAATTTCAAATCAGCTCTCTGTCACTTTATTACAGCAATGCATCTGTGTTAATGTCCACTGAGCTTGAATGTCTCTGTTTTGTTCATGTGTTTATTAGCTGGTCCCTGGAACTTTGGCTTTAATGTGAAGTTCTATCCTCCTGACCCAGCACAACTCAGTGAGGATATCACCAGGTAAGATTCAGTGAAATTATTCACTCTTACACACTGGCATGCATGAGTGGAGAAGCTGCAGGAGCTTGAGCCCCGGCCCCTTTTGTCTCAAAATGAACAGCGTTTTTTTTGATTAGCTCTAAAGGTCACTGAGCAAAACCTGTGTAGAACTTAAAATTGTCCCTGGAGGGCAGATACAGTTTGGTGGGTGGTGTCCATAATTAGGCAATAAATATACATAATTACAAAAGTCCACGTTACAGAAGCAATATAATATAATAGTAATATAATACTAGCCCTTTTGGGGGTCTTGGATTGTCAAAAATGGACCAAGCTTCATGGAATTTTAAGCTGGTGTTGGGTTTGACCAAAATTTCCCTGCCTAGCTACCTGAATTGGTAGTCACAAACACATTTACACCTCCAGTTATACTAGGCTAAAGTTGGCTACCTGTTTACTAGTTTCTCATTTTACTTCTCCCTTCCACCTTAAATGGTGCAGCAGTTACATTCTGCCAGCTCTACTTGTGTCATCTAAGTACTGCTTGATTAAAGGTGGATCAGAAAAATCAAATTAGAAACTAGTGAAGAAGCAGCTAACTTCAGCTTCGTCACAGTGACCTTGGTCATTCCCGGTTGAGGATTCCCTCCGTAAACTAATGTCTTACATTGAATCAAAGTCCAACCCATGCCAGAAAATAAAGCCATTAAAAAGCCTGCTGCTGTGAGTTGTTTACATTACCATGGTTGCAATCACCATGCAGTCTGAATCAGTCCTGAGCAGGCAAAGAATTGGAAAAGATGAGGTTAGTGTATCGTTTTTTGTTTCTGGATGATCATAATAATAATAATAATAATAATAATAATAATAATAATAAGACAACATTATATTTAGCTCACCAGTAAAATTATTGGTTGGATAAAGTGTTTGAATATCACATTGTTACTGTTTATTTAAATGGGCATTTATTAGAATTTGGTCTGTTCTTGGTTCATGAAACAAGTAAAATGGACTTAAACATTACTTTTGTATAATTAAAATTACATCTGCATTCAGAACACCACAGTATTACAATAACTGGTATTATTATTTTCATATACTGACAAAATCCTGATATGAACTTTTCCAGAAGTTCCCCAACAAAATTCCCCTATTGAAACCCCTTAGCCCCTGCCCTCGCCAAAGTCTGTGCACGCCACTGCCCTTACAGCTACTTTTAAATTGTTCATAGTAATCTCTGGGTCAGAAATGCATATTAGAACATATGATTTGACGGCAACATACCTTCCATGAAGACATCGCATGCTCAGATTCCTTAGAAACTTAATAAAGCCTGGAAAATACACACATAGACGTATTAAACCGTAGGGATGGGCTTATTTAGGGTTTTGTGTAGTTTTTATTTAAAAGGCACAGTCATATGCACGTCTCTCTCTTCCTTTTAATGTTGCTGTCTCTGTTTAATTACGTTACATTCAGTTCAATTCTGTAGACTTTACTGTCATCTCTATGTTTACTTTTACAAGAAGTTATGTATTAAAAAAGTAGTGAATTCTCCTTCTCTCTCTCTCTCTCTCTCTCTCTCTCTCTCTCTTTCTTTCTTTCCATTAGGTACTACCTGTGTCTGCAGCTGAGAGATGACGTTGTGTCTGGCCGTTTACCCTGCTCATTTGCCACACACTCTGTGCTGGGATCCTACATTGCTCAGTCTGAGATTGGTGACTATGACCCAGAGGAGCTGGGCGGTGACTACGTCAGTGACCTCCGCTTCGCCCCCAACCAGACCAAAGAACTGGAGGAGAAGGTCATGGACCTGCATCGCAGCTACAAGTAAGTGGAACACTCACTTGTAGGCGTGTGAAATGCATCTGAAGGTGGAGATTGTACTGCATAGAAAAATATGTTTTGGTGAAAAAGTCCAGTAGTCCAAAATTCCAGTTATTGGTATTATGTAATTATTTCCTAATTTTTAATTTAAGCATTGGGATGTTGGAGATTTACACCTCTGCTCACTACTATGTCCACAGTGCCCTAAACGTCATAGTACCCACCCATATCCCCAACCAAATAACCATTCATTGTGCAAATACAGGCAGTAGCTGATTGTATGGGCAATAGAGAATACACATTAAGACTACACACCAAAGGAGGGACGCATACCAGTTTATATGGCCAACATGCCATAATAGTTTTGTGATAAATGAAACTGCAGTCACCCCTATAGTGCAGTAGATCTATTCCAGTCCTTTGTGGTTGTCCTTTCTACAGAGCTTTTCACAAGGACAACACGTGAGGACTGTGCTTTGTGTGTGTATGGCTGAAAGAATAAGTGCCTCATTCATTTATTAATGAATGGATATGTACAACTGAATGTGTGATTACACAAAGCTACACTGTGAGGTTTTCACAGTGTCCCTTTCTGTCTGCAGTCCACTGCTTTGTTCTCTAAGGAGTCTATAATATCTCAAACACAAGTGAGGACTGTGTGTGCTGTACTGTTAACTGTTGCTTTCATAAACATGCAAAAAAATTACCATAGCTTAATGAGAAATGTTACTGATTAGTGTTCTTAACCTCTTTGCTAGCTTACTGACACTAATTTTAGATGACCTTCTTGAGCTTCTGATGTGTCTGGCTGTGGGCTTTTTATTGTGTAATGTATCTCTCTCTCTCTCTCATTCTCTCTCTCTCTCTCTCTCTCTCTCTCTCTCTCTCTCTCTCTCTCTTTCTTTCTCTCTCTGTCTCTCTCTATCTCTCTCTCTTCAGAGGAATGACTCCTGCTGAGGCTGAGATGCTGTTCTTGGAAAACGCTAAGAAGCTCTCCATGTATGGTGTAGATCTGCATCATGCCAAGGTGAGACTGGGTAATTTACTTAAATCACACAATTTAAAAGAATGCACCGACGTTTTCTCACATTTTTCTCTGTATCTTATTGTAAAGTGCAAGGGATGATGTGATACAGACCTGTTTCCCTAGAAAAGAACAGAAAACCCCTTGACTTCAAGTACACTTGCAGTAGAAGCCAGTGGGCAGTTGCTGAATTCCATAAAGAAACATTTGACCATAAAATGTGATTCGACATTCGACAACTCATTACACTCTACCAATACAGGTCTTAGACATGAGAGAATTGATTAGTCAGCTGTGGATGATGATGTGGTGCTTTTTTGTGAGCTTTTAGCAGAAAAGTTGATTGTTTTTCAATCTAGAAGCATGAAGCACATTGCAAAGGCTAGAGGAAAAGGAGTTTCTGACAGTTTGAAAAGGAGTTTCTGAAAGCTTCATTATCCAGTTTTTGCAGGTTTACAGGTTCATATGTTTAATCAGAATCTTCTTAAAAGTGTTATACCAAAACGTCTTCTTTTCCTAAACGTTTTCTGATAGTATTCAGCAATTGCCCAATGGCTATTATTTGAGTCAACAGGCTTTCTGTTCTTTTCTAAGCACAAAGAAATGCGTGGTTAAAATGCTACATATGTGGCAGATAGAGATTTGGTCGAAAAGCAATGGAGCAAGACTGTTAACGCTGACCATAAAATCATTTTTTTTTTTTTGCTTTGTCCATGAGGTCTTCGCAGCGACACCTCACGATTTACACAAATGATTACACTCGAGTAGCAAGTCTGGTTTGCATAAATCCAATCAGTATTTAAAAAGATGTTACAGATAAAGCTGATCTGGGCATTACAGCCTGCTGTTAAAGGTTGTTTTGGTGACCAATTGTTTTGGTGGACTGTGTTGACCATGTCTGTTAAGTGAGTATGCTGATGGAGTGTGCTAAAAAAGCTTGCTGAGTAAGGGTGCTAAATGATGTGTTGCAAATGAGTGTGTTAAATGTGCGTGCCCTCACACTGGATGCTGTATAACTCTAGGCTGCTGTGCTGGCATTGCTCTCACTTGCTGCTGATCTGCTGCTGCGTCAGTGCTGCAGACTGATATGAGCATTCATTCTGTATGAGAGCAACAAAGAGGTTTTACTAAGATCGACACGAATACAACTCCCAATATCAAAAATACTGATATTAATATATCTGCAGGAATACAATTGGATGCATTGATGAATGCTCTACTCACAGGGGATGGTCGTATTAATGGTGGTCTGCTTGAATTAACGGCTTATATAATTCCTGTCCCATTAAGTTTGTTACTTCCAATCTCCCCTCTCCCCCTTTTTGCTGCACACATGGCCCCACCACCTACTCAAAGCATATTCCTGTGGTAATACCATTTGAGGTCCTGAGGTCAGAAATTGACCATTGACGAAGGGCTAGAAGGTGACAGAAATTGTGCATCATATAAGAATTAGGTTTAGTCTCTAATTCTTCACTCATCAGGTGTGGGTGTGTGTGTGTGTGTGTGTGTGTGTGTGTGTTTGTCGTCGCCATGGGCCATGTCTATTTGTCCATTCATCATGGCATCCTAGCTTTTAATGTATGTTAATGTCTTGATAATTTTTCCAAGTAATTTTGGATCATTGGTATTGGACCATTCGTTATGAAATGTTAACACAGTGTAAAAGACCGTTTTCAAATTTGTATTTATATATATATATATATATATATATATATGTGTGTGTGTGTGTGTGTGTGTGTGTGTGTGTATGTATCTATGTAAGGTATATCTGTGTATCTATATGTATGCATAACTTTTGCACATGGTGCTTTTTCTTTGTGTTAAATTCAGCAAATAAAGAGTAATTGAGCATTAAATTATGTGTTTTTTTAAGTGTGCTCCCTGTAAAAGATATGTCAACTTATTTTCACTTAGAAACAAAACATAATCCAACCAGGGTGCCCAAATGCTTGCGTATGGCTGTGTGAATCCTTTTCAAGCTTGTCATAAGCTTCTATCTTTTACTGTCTTCCACAAGGAGAGAATTCTAAGAAAAATTGAGTGAAAAGTATAGCTTTATTAAAACTGACTGAAAGAACGCCGTATCTCTAGCTCTCCCTGCGTCCTCCAATGTATGTAAATGCATGTCCTCATTCCACCCTGCCCTCGGCTCTGGACGCTCTGCGCAACTCTCTCTCTCTCTCTTTTTCTTTCCTCATCAATGACGTAGTTGGTAGGGAGGCTCTTTGAGTGCTTAGCAGCAGCTAAGGAAGAGGTAAGAAGCTGTGCTGTGCTCTGCTATGCGTGTCTGGGTTTATATATGCCTGTGTGTAGGAGGAGATGTATCCGTATGAAGTGGTGCTTATGTATTTGATTGTTCAGATACATGTGGATAGTGTCAAGTGTAATTGACCTTGTGAACGACTCCTGCTTGTACCTCTAGTGTAGAGGTCTTCAAATCTGGACTTTGAATCCAGTTTCTGGTCCTGGATGTGGAAATGAGTGGTAGTTAAATGAACCATAGATGTATCTGGTCACCTCGTGTTTAACCTACCTGATTACAAAATTGCATGACCGGAACCTGGATTAATGATCCATATTTGAAGACCTTTGCTCTCGTGGTTTGCTGTATATTAAAGTAGTTCTCTAGTGTTTTTCTGTGTTTCTGTTTTCTCACTGCATGAGCGAGATATTGAATAGTAGCAAGGCTCAATTACTACATGCTGCATTGCAGTGCTGTGCTTGCCTTTCATCACACTCCCTCCGTGATCTACACATTAGATTCCATACATCACTCTCTGCAAATGCCTGACTGTTTCTTTAAATTGTCTATAATGTCTGTTTTATTATACATAAAAGTGTTAAAACTCAGTTAAGACCTCAGCATACAGGATCATAAGTGCCTGTGACAGGAGCATGACAGCTCAGTCAGTTCATGTCAGTTATCACTAGCTATTATGTCTTATAAGACTCTTATTAAGGCCTTTCATGGTTAAATCCTGTTGATTGGTCCATCGAGGCATCTTCATTTGTGCAGTTATTTTCAGCTTTTATGAAGGTGAATACAGTAGTCATAAAGGTTAAATGATGCAAACGATTCTATCTCTGATTGATTCATTGAATTGAGTTTTTTTGTTGTTTTTATTTTGGACTTAAGGTTCAGTTTTCATCTGTTTTTTTTGTTGTTGTTGTATTTTTCATTTTCCACATAGCAAAATATGTAAATGTGCTTATTCAGAGCTTCCTAAAGTTGTCTGGTCTGGTGCCTCCTCCATAAATCCCCCCTGTCTTGCTTTCATGGTAGATCGATTGTGTTGGATCACTAAACTAGTCTGTACACTGCAGCACCTCATTTGTCTGAACCAGTCTCTTTATGTATCTCTCTGTCTGTACTTCTACATCTATCTCCCTCGCTCTCTCCCTCTCCATCTGTCCTGTGTAGGACAGAATGGGAGGTCATTTGTAATTTATGCTCATTCATGTCCATGTCCCTTGGTTTTCTTTGACTCTCTCATTGTTGTGCTCTCTCATTTCACTAGCTCATTAATCTCTCTCTCTCTCTCTCTCTCTCTCTCTCTCTCTCTCTCTCTCTCTCTCTCTCTCTCTCACACACACACACACACTCTGCAGGATTCAGAGGGTGTGGAGATTATGTTGGGTGTGTGTGCCAGTGGCCTCCTGATTTACAGAGACCGGCTGCGCATCAATCGCTTCGCCTGGCCTAAAATCCTCAAAATCTCCTACAAGAGGAACAACTTCTACATCAAGATCCGCCCTGGAGAGGTGAGAGGATGGACACTCGCTATATGTCTTAACTGTCGCATTAAAAATCAGTGACTTTAACAATGTTTGTGTGTTTGTGTGTTTGTGTGTGTGTGTGTGTGTGTGTGTGTGTGTGTGTGTGTGTGTGTGTGTATACATATTTTTATTCATATATATGCTATCCCAATGGGTGCTGTATATATGGGTGCTATCCCAACGGACATTGAGTGGAAGGCAGGATCAGGTCGTCAGTCCATCGCTGGGCATACATGTGTGTGTGTGTCTGTGTGTGTGTGTGTGTGTGTGTGTGTGTGTGTGTGTGTGTGTGTGTGTGTATGTGTGTGTGTGTATATATATATATATATATATATATATATATATATATATATATATATATATATATATATACACTTTCATATATAGAGCATGTTGTTCTTCTCTCAGTGCAAAAAATGTCTTGGCCACTTAAAGCATCTTAATTATGTTAATTTTTGTCATTATATTGCTATGCAACAGTGACAGTGCCCCTAGTCAGATTGCTTGTTGTTTCTCTTGTTGTGTTCTGCACATTGTCATGCATGTTAAGAAGTTCATTAATCTCAAATTTATTATTTCCCTAAATTATTTGACAGTAGGATAAGAGTGTCATATTTCATTTGCTAATGTAGCATTATTTGCTGTTCCTGTTTTGAATTTGCTCTACATCTGTGTGAATTTGTGTTTCTCTCTCTTTTTTTTAGTTTGAGCAGTTTGACAGCACAATTGGATTCAAACTTCCAAATCACAAAGCAGCAAAGAGACTGTGGAAAGTTTGTGTGGAACATCATACCTTTTTCAGGTAGGGATGCACAGGGAGAAATAGGGTTGACTAAGACTATTGTGGATATTTAAAGGAAAATTCTGGAAATGCTAACATTTAATAATAATTCATGAAGGCTAATAGCCAGTAGCAATTATTATACAAATTGCCTAAGGTAATTAATTGGCTGCTGTCAGATTTTATTAAATTTTACCTATGTTAGCGTTTCCTGCTAAAGTACCCTTCAGTTATAACTTACACATAACAAAGCACCCATTTCCTAAACCTAAAGCAGATGTATACTACTTATGCCCTGATAAACACAGGACACTTGTGGTACTTCTTCCTCAGACTAGTGTCTCCTGAAGCTCCTCCTAAGAAGTTAATGTCTCTGGGCTCTAAGTTCCGCTATAGTGGGCGTACACAGGCACAGACACGCCAGGCCAGCTCCCAGATCTCCCGACCTGCACCCCAGTTCCAGCGCTCCTCCAGCAAACGGCACACCACATCCCGCAGTCTGGACGGAGGTATGTAACTGTTGACTTAGCAGCACTTCAATACTTTTCCTTTTTTCCAGTATTAGAAAATCTAATAAAATGGTACACTGATACCATTGTCAACTTGATGTGGACACTAAATTAAATAGTTGTAATATATGTTCACAGTTTTGATGCCTCATTAAGAAGACCTATAGCAGCTCAACACTTTTGGGAATCAAAATTATAGGCTTTAAATTTTTTGTTTGTTTGTTTGTTTTCTGTTTTTTGTATGGTCAGATTTCTTGTGATACAATAGCTATATTGTAGGTAATGTTTACAGGAAGCACACTTCTATATGTTTTAATGCACAATTACTGTTTATTTGATGAATTTAGCATATTAAAAAAAACCAAACTGTAGCCTGAGCAAAAGTTACGGCACATTTTATATTTCACTTTATATTAAATTGAAATTATGCCCTAAAATTTGCACATTTGTACACTGAACACCACATTATGTTCCCTGTGGAGGTGTGTTAACTTATTTTCACTTAGAAACTTAACAAAACAGGTAATCTGACAAGGGGTGTTCAAACTTACAACTGTTCATACGGCAGGAAAAAATCATCCAAATATTTTAGGCCTTGTTACTCTGAGATGTTTGATATAGTACTGCTTTTGGCTCAGTCACCTAAATCTTAACCAGTGGGTCCAGCACAGAATACTTGGCAGGACTTGCTGTCCTCTTCCTTTGAACATGCCGGTAGTCTGTATTTTGCTTTCCTTACAAAGTAGATCTTATTAACACTTCACGTCTTCCAGCACCAGCCATGGCCAACAATGACAACCTGATGAAGGACTCCAAGCCCACCGTCACGGGTACTCACATCACCACGGTAACACCAGAGAAAAAGATTGAGGAAGAAAAGGCTGTAGAGGAAGAGACAACTACTGCTGCGGAAACATCTGAACCTGCCGCTTCCACTCCTGTTGTCAAGGTAACAGTGCTTCGCTAAAACCCTCTTTTCTTCCTCTGATCGGGGTTGGTATTTCTTAAAGGATTTCTTAAAGACACTAGTGGGAACTGCGTCTGTTCAAGTGTACCTCACTGAGAGTGAAAATGCAACTGCAAATAGGATTGTGTTTTTCCACAATTCCATTTTGTGTTTTTCCACAATTCCATTTTGACTTGTTCAGCAATAGTGTAAATAATGGTACGCAAAAATGGCATTGCAAATATGTTTTGCAATTAAATTATGTCTCAAATTATGCACACACATGTGGGAAATGCAGATCTGAGTACATATAATTTATTAGTGTTAGTGTCACCCTGCAAAGCCTGAAACAGTAATTTAACAGAGGCATCAAGCCAGATTTCATCATGCATCTTTACATATTAACTTCACATGCACAGGCTTAAAAAGAAGGACTGGCTCAGTGTTTAGGTCTCAAATGTAAAATCAGCATTATGCTAAATGAAGATAACGATGACAATAGTAGGTAATTCACTTACATCCACGTTCACCATGTTTTGACGGAGTTTTCTTTGAATACTCTTTTAACACACTCTCAGTCAGATTCATGGGCTCAGGCAAGGGATCTGAAGCACAACCGACCTTTCAGAATTCACATTGCATGCAATTACACATTTCTACCACAGACGTCTCCAAATCCCCAAAACCTCCATAGTGTAGCTTTAATAAAGCCTGGATTATGTTGCCATTCATCGTAACTGCTCTCAGAAGAAATTTTAGCTGCTACCCATTCATAAACAATAATGACTATATTGCTTCATTTTTTGAAATTGAGACTCCTTTGATATGCTTGACTAATTAGCTTTTCCTTTCTCGCCCTTTGATCCTTTGTCATGTTCATACACTCGTTTATTCATATTGTCCACTTGCCATTTGTGCTTGTCCATTGGCCTTTCGGTCACCATTCCCATGCTCCCGTCCTCGCTCTTCCTGGTCAGCGCCCGCCCTGTCTGGGCTCAGAGCTGTCCCTTCCGTCCTCTCCAGTCTCCTCCACCAAGGTGCGTCGGAGGCGCAGGGGGAGCAGCCGCAAGCGGGCGTCTTCAGTTAGTCCAGTCAAAAGCGCGGCAGGGCTTGAGCAGCAGAGGCAGGCACGGGCTGACCGTGCTGCCGCCCTGCTAGAGGAGCGTACCCTTCTCCTGTCTGCCCGAAAGCAGAGACTGGACCAGAACCACCGTCCCAGAGGAGGCACGCTCTTCTCCTTCTCCCTGCACCTGCCTGACATGTCCTCGCTGCTGGACGAGGACGGCTACCTGAGCTTCCCCGACCTGTCTGAGCTCAACTTTCTGCCCGAGAGCCTCCAGCACTTCCTGCCCATCAAGTCTCCCTCACTTGTGCCCTGTTTCCTCTTCATCTTTTTCTTCCTCCTGTCAACTTCGTTCTCCGTGCCCTACTCGCTCACACTCTCCTTTCCTCTGGCGCTCTGCCTCTGCTACCTGGAGCCCAAGGCGGCATCACTCAGCGCCTCACTCACCCAAACGTTCCAGGACAGCTCGGACGACGAGGTCTGTATGTCGGAAGGTGTGCATGTGTGTATGTACAGTACCAGACTAAAATTTGAGCACATAACCTTTCATGAGTTTTTTCTGTAGTTTTTTCTTGGTCAACTAGAAGTCAACTAATCATGAAATTAGTTTGTACCTTAAAGTCTTATGGAATATAGTGTCAGAAATGAACAAATCTTTGTATGAAATTGAAATTGAGTGCAATATTAAATATTTAGCTGTGAAAAAAAACAAGATAAAAATGTGATGTCACTGCTTAATAACCTACCTGAGAGTTGTCTGAGCATGATATTATAGAAATGTTCTTTATGGTATATATCGCTGTTGTCAGAAGAAAATCTCTTATCTCTAAAACGAGAACTTTACAGGAAAAGAAAAAAACCTACCTTACTTTTAATGTAAGTCAGTGGAGCCAGACGTTCTTCCAAGTCACTTTGGGCCGTTTCTTCATGAAATTTACACACAGTGTAAATGGCAGCAGGCATTTTCAAATTATGTCAAAAACTGAAAAACATTAAAAATGGAGATACAAGGTTTTCTTCAGACAGCAGCGACATATTACTGAGATCATTTGGATTGCACTTTCTAACATATTATACACAGGCTGTAGTGTACTTATTAAAACGGTAGAATATAGCACATTGCTTGAACTTGGTCAAAACATGCTCCAGACTTACATGTATATGTACTGTTTAGCTATAGCTCAAACAATCCTTGAATGAATGGACTACAGCTGATCAGCTGACATGTTGACTTTTTTCAGATTGTAGAATAGAAGTGAAGATATCTTAACAATAAAAGAGCACACGTGATTAATACAGTGGCTAACAGTATTTAAGATTCTTCAGACTGCCCCTCCCTTTGCATTGACTGCAGTTGGCAGTTGGCTCTTGGCATTTTCTCAGGCAGGAGCCACCTGGAATGACCCTTCAACAGGCTGAAGAAGCTCCACATATCCTGAGCACTTGTTGGCTGCTGGAAATGACTTGTTTGGAGGGCATTTCAGTTTTTTTCTGTTTACATTTTGTCTTGGAGATAAATTCATATATTAGCATCAATGTCCAGGTTTAAATTTGTCATAGCAAAAATGATAATGTCTTAAAGATCATGAAAAACATGCAAGCAGTCTGGTGTGTCCAAACTTTTGACTGGTACTGTGCGTGTTGTAGCACTCCTGAGCTGGTGAAGCTCAGGCCACATGGAATCAGCTCTCTCTTGATGTTGATTGTTGCAAATGGTGTCACCATCATCTCATCTGTGGCACCTTATTCAACATTCCACCAGTCTGTGTGTTTTTGCTTAGCACATCTGCATGCTTAAGGCTAAACCTAAAGTTAATGGTCCACCATATGGCAGAGGAATTTGAAATAGGGAACTACGTTCATTATCTAGGGTTGATTATCAGTAGAAGTTCTGAAATAGCTTCATTGTGGTCAGATAGTTTTAGATCTTTCTATGTAAACCTAACACGCTCTGCATAAACATAAGTCCGTCTGTGTAAACTCAACACAGTCTTTGTACACTTAAGGCAGTCAATGGCAACAAACACTGTGTCTTAATTTAGTTCTTTTGGATACACAGTCGCTGGAACCACTGGACTGAGTGCAAGAAAACCAAGCCAATGGAAACAACAAACTCAGATTTTCTGCCCTGAAATATGAAGGGTCGGCAGTTAAGGGTGATTTTTATTGCTCATGTCTGTTTTCCCACGATCAAGCCGCTGAGAATTTTCTGCTTAAATGCCAACCACCGTGTTTACTGTGTTCAACATCACAAAAAGGCATCTGAATCATGTCAGTTACTGACAGAATAATTGCATACAATGTTGGGCAACACGCATGAGTTGTTTGAATGAGATTTTGAGGTTTAGCCTCTTCTACCATAGGTCAGAAATCCTTCATTTTCCACTTAACATCAACTCTTAACTTGAGTAAACACCCATCCTGCATCACTGATTACATACCATTGCCTGACCACCACACCACGAGTATACATTTTATAAAATTAATTGGTGACTATTAATTTTCATTCATTTTTAATAACATTATTGATCTTTTAAAACATTTTTTGTTTTTTATAGTCACTTTTTATTCTTCATACACTGCTCTTTGTTTGTTCACATTCATTACAAACCTCCTCTTCACACCATCCTGCACTCATTGTTCTGTTTCTGCCCTGTGGTGTGGTTGATATTAAGAAGCAGTGGACTAATATGGTGGGTTTTTCTTCACTGCTGCTTTCCAATGGAAACTCCTGGCTGTTGTCAAATGTGAGACAGACAGACAGCGAGCAGACTGACTTTGGCTGTGATGATGAGTCAACAGCAACCGAGGTGTGTGGGCATTGATGCATTGGTCATGTTTAATATCCACATATGAATATTGACAAACTAGAAAGGTTTTGTTCTTTTGATTAGCATCGACAAATGAATTACTGTCAGATATCCAGATGTTTTCCTCAAAATGAAAGTCTTTTACCCAAAATAAACTACTGGAGGCTTTACAGGTTTTTGGGATCATATCTGAGTTAACTATTCTTTCTTTGCTCTTTCCTCTTAACGTTTCTTAACTTTGGCTTTTAGTCTGAGCCAGAGGATTCGGACGTGACAACACAGGTACTCCGTAGTAATGTCATAATGATCATTATGACCCTGCTGTGTCTCAATATGTTTTGTTCAATCTCATTGCAATGCAACATTCTGTCACAATTCATTCATTTAGTCATGCTGCAGTGTTGGATAATGAATGATGTTGTCATCTTGTTTCAACAATTTCTCATCAAACCTTTAATTTTTATGTTGCTATGTATTTAAGGTTTGTGGCTATACTTGCGCAAACTTGTCTTTAATTGGTGTATTATCGTTTGTCCATGAGTCTTAATGATATTTCTTCCTTTGGGCTGAAAAGCTAGTTCTTCCCACTGTAGGTGAAAAGCACCTGAACTGTATTCAAAAAATAGCACTTCCAGATTGTCTACTGAAAGGGAAAGATCCTTTTTTTGTAACTCTTCCTTCTCTTCTCCCAGAATAGTTTCATAAGGCGGATAAAGGGTGACAACGTCTTTGTCAAACACAGTAATCTCATGTTAGAGGTTTGTAAATAACCAACTGCTTGAATATTGTAGAATACAGAGAGTGACTAAGAGTTTGAGTGTTTAGTTGTTGAACCCCAAGTAAGGTTTACATGCATGGGATAGAAATCAGAAAGACTGTTAATTGTTCATCAGTTTTAGACTGTACAACAAGTACTCACCTTCGCCCCATTAATACAGTGCTGATGAATGTTCCTGTTGGATTGTAACAAGCAAATTAAATAACAGATATCTAACAACAATCTGAAATCTAATCGTTTGTTGAGGAGGAAACCTGTCTTCTGAAAACTGGGAGTGCTGAATGCTTGCATGACTGACTCATGTCTTAGTGTTTTTGAAAGGTTTGACAAATATTTGATGCATGGGTGTTGTTGAAACGTGATGGAGGTCAGATTCTTAACCCCGGCTCTGCTGAGCTTTGAAGCTCCTCAAGATTTGCTGTAATTGAAATACTACAGCAGTGCTGTGATTAAAACAACCCGCAACTAAACCAATTGCTAGTGGTGCACAATATATATCCATGGCCAGTGTATTTTTTGCATATAAATGGGAATTTTTTTTGTCCTCTGTTGTAAAGAAGACAAAAACAGTAGCAATATAGCACTGTCTTTGTAATTGGGGAGGGTCTGAATTTTATATAGTAAATTAGGATATTTGATATGCAATAGAATTTTTTCTAATGTTCGGCATTCTCATGTTCAAGAACCTGAACTCTATGCTCCACCAAAGGACAGTGTAGAGCCTGTAGAGTTTCTAATCTGTTTAGCTTAAAGAAGGAAGCATAGAAAGACTACTGCAGGCACCTGAAGGCTGCTGTACACCAGACCAGAAGCACCACACACAATCTAGGAAATAGTACAAAACACAGCTATACCACATAAGTAGCATCAAATCATTTTTGTATAATGCCTTGCAAATTCAAATATCAAACTTGACTGAAATACCCATCCCTAATATTCAATAGGCGTTTTAAAATGGCAGTAATTGTTTTTTTACATACAGCAATTCAAACATACAAATGGGTAAAGTACGCCTCAGTTACAACCACATTGATGTCTCATCCTGTAAAATGTTAATATGAAAACAAAACAAATAATGTTATTAACAGGAATATCATATATATTCAGTAAAGAGATTCAGTTTTGTTGCCAGTGGCATTTTTAATTCATTGTGTCACTAAAATTATTACATCATTAAAAAAAACCTCCAAAATCTTGCATAAGTTCATAAAGTGGGGGTGGAAATGTTATTGGTTTATTATTTATTGTTATTATTTTAAATAATCAGTTATTACTGTGGCACGATTACCCATTAGGTGCCTAGTCAACATAACCTCTGACCAACAGGGAAACAATCCCAATATATCTCACCTAAATCTCAAAAGTTACAACTGAATGTAGGTTTTGTTTACTTTAATTAAGCAGGTTTTTAGTATGCAGCAAAAAAAATTATCGACAATTAATTACTGGTATCGATATCAGTAAGATGCTAATATTACCTGGAAATTTGGCCTGGAAATTCCATATTGTGCATCCCTACTAAACACCAAATGATGTTATCCCTCACCTTTTCCTCCTATCCGTGTGCTGTGGTTCAGGAGACTGACGCTCCAGATGAGCTGCTCAAGAGACAGACGAACCTCAACGAGTTGAAGAGGTCATTTTTGGAGACGCGTCCTGAGTGGTCAGGAGACAGTGAATGGGACAGGAGGTTGTCCTCTTCTCCTGCTCGCACACAGCGACGGGATGACACTCCCATCATAGAACCTGTCTTACCTTTACAGGATGTAAGACCCAGCTTGCGAGTGTGGCACAGGAAGCCCAGCACATGCATGTCAAGTTTTCCCAAGCCAACACAGATCACTGTACCAGCTGCTATTGGAATGGCTCATTGTAGATTGCTTAGCATGTTTTGGCTCTATAGAGCGTGTTATTAAGTCCCAGAAGTTTGACTTGTTACAGAAAGCCAGGGTTTATTACTCCCCCTGTCTGCCTCTGTCTCTGTTGGCATTGCTTAATTTGTTGACTCAATATGTTTGCAACTGGAGTTTTGATTTGTAATTCTTGAGTAGTTTAGTAAATAAGGTGCTTAGCTGTGGCTAAGTAAGTGTTGGTTTATTCCTTAAGCTGATTAACAAACTTGAGCAGATTGGCCTAGAAGTTTTGGATTTTAACATGATTTGACTTGTTTCGAGCCGTTGTTGTGGATTTCTCACTCACTTTCCTTTGGTTTTTCTGTTTTTTTGCCATCACAAGTGATTTATTCCTGTGGTTTGCATGATTTTTCCCACATCTCATACTCCATGAGGACCACATTTACTCCACCCAAAACTTGAACAAACTTTACAACTGTACTTCATAAGGTTTGGTTTTCAGTGTTCTAAACATAATGTTTCTCATGTTGTTGTTTGTTTTCTTTGTCCCCCTTTGTAGACTGCAGAAGATGCCAAAGCAGAACCTCCTCAGGACGTTTCAGAAGAAAAGCCTGAGCTGCTGGAGGCCAGCCCCACTGAGGTAGCAGTAAAGTCTTAGCTATTATTGTACTTTCCAGGCATGATGTGTTCTGCATCGCTGCTAGTTTTGGTGGTCTTGAACTTTTGTGATGTTTGTTTTTGGAATTTTTCATTTAATGGCCATGTTTGGAAAGAGAACGGTGTTGTCTAGACACTGTGGGGGAGGAAAGCTGCTGAAGCTTTCCCAGTTCCCCCGCTTACTTAGGTTTGTTGTTGAAAACCACAGAATGTTTTTAGCATGATGTCATATTTATGTCTGGAAATATTTTGGGGAAAAATCAAATGCTCACCATCACCAAGAAATACATGCTTCTCTGTCTGCAGATATTTTTAGATACAGCATATAATTGTTGACTGATGTGCCATATTTAGCTCCAGATTATTTTTCTTTAACATGCATATCATAATTTAAGCTCTTGAACAGTCTCCATTTAGTTACCATGAGAGCAAAACTGTACTTCTAGGATGGATAATGCAGATTTTTCCAGAGCCCAGTTTAGCCATAACTAGTCATGACTTTTAGATGTGGCTGGAAATCATTCATAACAGTATCCGAACAGATCATAGGATGGAGATTCCTCTCTTGAGCTAATGCAGTTCTCTTTTTATGTTGTATGCGTTGGTGGGTAAATTGCTACTGCAGGTTTCACAACAGAACATGTATATCATCTGTAACATGGTGAAGGTAGGAAATGCTCCCCACGATCAAGAAGCTATGAAAGAAACCACCAAACTTGTTCCCCTGATGGAGGTCAACAACACATCAACTGAGACTGACTCCATCATGGTATCAAACCATTATGACAAGCTATGTGATAATCCTGTTTTGGAGAAAGCCGGTTGCGTTTTGTCTGGAGAAGCGAATGCAGATAACACTAGAGAAGCTCTCAACATCACCATGCAAGAGACTGACTTTTTTGAAGACAAATTGAACAGTATGGTTTTTAAAATCAACATGCCAGACTCTGAGATCACTAAGGCAATGTCAGCAGCCACCATACCTGAACAGAAGATAGAAGACCAAAGAGAGACTTCAACGTCATCAAAACAGGAAATGACTGATTCCAATAAAGATGAAGCAGCGTTCGAAGTAATCAGTGAACAATTTGATTACAAATTAGAGACCCTCCTTATATTAAATCCTGAGAAGACTGTGGTCCAAACTGCCGCTCCACAGAAGCCCATGCATCAAAGTGTTGAATGGAATATGCCCCATGTTGAGATGGCTAGCAGAAACCAGTTACAATCCAGTAGAGTCTCAGTTCACTACATCACCAAGATCTCTCCAACCTTCAGAGTGGTGGTATGACCTGGCTCCCATTCACTGACCCCAGCTTCACCAGATTTAATCTCACCTGAAGCCTAACAAAACTATAGAAGGCCACACTGTTTGCTTTTCATCACAAAAGCTAATGATGCCCTCATTGCTTAGTTGATCTACATCCATCTTTTAAACCAGTTGTTTTTCTTGAAAATCAGTCATTTCAAGTCTGCTTAGAAAATTGTCTGCTGCAAATGACCTATAATGTTGGTTTTGGGTCAGTTTCAGAATGCCAGCTTTTTCCTCATTCATAAACAGAATCATGCTTAACTTGCATCTGCTTGTTTCATGAAAGCATTGTACCTGATAGAAAGATTCATAAGGCTTTTACATGGTAGAATTGTGGAAATAATAATTCTGTGTTATATTCAGACTAATTTAAACTACAGTTCAGGATGGCAGAAGTGAAAAATAAAATTGAACCAGATTGCAGTGAATCGATAGTGAAATAAATAGGAAATGGAATATGTTAGTGCTGGTAATAGCTGTCCTCTAAGTAACCTACAGTTCACCTTAGATGCTTCTAAAGAATCAAGGAGATTAGGAAATTAAAGTCTGTCCTAAAATGATGAGCATTCATTCAGAGACATGTCTGATCAATTGTTAGATGGGAGAGATTAGCCTAAGCTAGGACTGCTTTATGCAGGTACCTGTAAAAACCTCATGAATCAGTAGGAGTTCTGTGCACAACTGTTGGAAGTGTTGACAATAGAGGGGGCTTTAGTGCTTTACCACAGGCTTCTCAGTCATTGTATTTCACAGGGTCTGCCTGGGAAGTATATCTCAGCTGTCTGTTATTTCCTGCACATTTGTTATATTTATCTTTCTTTTGTCATCTTCATGACAAGAAGTCCCCATTTCTGTCAGTACACTAAAAATGAAGATGCCAAGGAAATATGTAAAGTAATTATTAGTTCTATCCAAAAAGCAAGACTTGTCCAAGCAAGGTTACAGAGTGGAACTTTAAAGGTGGAGTCAAAATCTGACTTGAATGGCAGTTTTTTGTATTAAGGCAGCAGCAGGAACAGCTAGATGTTTATACAGCAAGAGCTGGGAACGTAGTTACTTCAAAAGTGGCCTGAATGGTACTAACAAACTTGAACAACAAAGGAATTAAAGAGATGCAGCAATCTAGGATTAACTGAGAGAAAATGAGACTCTGGTCCCTTGTTACTACACTAACCCTCTTTTGCCTGTTCTCACACCCTTTGTCCATCTCTGTCCTTTTCCTCCAGTCTAAAATGGCCTACATTTCAGAATTTCCTCAGCAGTGTGCAGACGTCTTATATGAGAAAGACACCACATCAGTGAAATACACATCATCTTATCTGCTTCAGGTTCTTTTCTCTAATCCACACTATGTAGTGTGCTTCTTCAGTTATTTATAATAGAAGTCCAGAGATAATGGTGTAAAGTGTCATTTGCATCTCACAGAGTTCAGGTGACCAGCAAGAGGAGACTCCAGTTGTAGAGGAGGTGCTGGAGGGAGAGGAAGCAGAGGAGACTGATAAGAAGGAACCACTGACTGATGAGGCACAAGAGGAGAAGTCACTAACTTGTACAGTTCAGAAAGAGAAGTCACCTCCTTATGAGCCTGAGGAGAGGTCAGCATCAGCTCCTTGTGAGACTCAAGAGAAGTCACCTCCTTGTGACACTGAAAAGAAGTCGTCAGCTCCTGACGAGACTCAGGAGGAGACGTCAGCTCCTAATGAGGCTGAGGAGGACAAGTCACCCCTTTATGAAGCTCAGATGACGTCACCTCTTTATGATTCTAAGGAGGACGAGTCACATTATGAGGCCGAGGAGGAGACATCAGCTCTTTATGAGACTCAAGAGCAGATGTCATTTATTTATGAAGCTGAGGTGGAGAATTCACCTCCTCATGAGCCTCATGAAGACTTGTCTGCAACCACTTTGAATATACTGACACCAGGGGATGCTATAAATGAAGACAGTAATGGTGGACAGATTGCCTCACAGGCTCCTCTGTTCATGACTGAAGAGGAACAGTCACCTGTTAATGTGCTAGATCAAGCAAAAGACGAAATCCAGCTGTCAGAATTGGGAAATTGTGCCGCTATAGTGCAGTCAGCGCCGTGGTGTGAGGACAGTTACATTGCTGAGCAAGTTCCAGAGGATGTTGTATGCCCTGTAATGGCAGAACAGTTGCCACTTGACACCCAGTTTAGAAACTGCGCACAAGAGGGGCTGCAAGAGGAAGTGGGAGAGCAGACCATAGCGTCTGAAAGCATGCCCTCAGCATTAGTCACTGAGAGCACAGCAGACTGGACACACACTGAAAAGGAAACCCTAACACCAGGTTTGACTGGGGAATGCAAAGACCAAGAGAATAGTGAAAATGCTGCAATGGTGCCCTCTGCTGGTGAAACTCAGATGTACATGGCTGAGGCAGCTCTTCTGCAAGCTACACCTGGGTTGGCTGATGTTGCTCCATTGATGTCTGTTCATAAAGCAGATAGCAATGAAAGAGAAGAGTCCTCTCTTGAGGAATGTGTGGATCAGGTATATGAGAATTCATTGACTCCCAATATTGATGAAGGGCAAGTCTCTGAGAACAGTCAGGAATATGAAGAGGAGAAAGAACAGTCAGCAAGTTCTGGAAGCTCTACCCCAATCAGGAAGTCAGTCTGTGAAGATGATGAGAGCTTTGTTTATGAAGAGGGAGAGAATTCGGAGGAGATTAGCATTGATTATGCTAACTTACCCATTGAAGAGCAAGAACAAGCAAATGTAGATGAAAGTGCTGAAAGTGACTTGTCAGGATTGGGGAACTGTTCCACTTCAGTGCAGTTTGTGCCACCCTATGAGGAAGTTCAAGAGCCTGTTATGGAAGAACAGTTGCCACTGGAGACCCAAATAGAAGAGGACAGTGCAGAAGGGTTTGGAAACTTCACATCTCCAGAGATACGTAAACTAGCTTGTACAAACAAAGAGGGTGGAGATACTGATTCAGAATGTAAAGGGAGCAACGATAAGGAAGGGGAAGCAGTTCCACAAGAAACAGAGAAGATGAAGGAGGAAATGAACACAGTTAGTGAAGCTGCCATGCCCCTCCTGGAGGTAACCCAACCCTGAAGGGCCTGGACAACTTAACCATTCACTGAGTCTTTCCCCATGCCTGGCACCAGCTCAGACTAATACCGGAGTCAACAGGGACTTCTCTCACTCTTCTTTGCTGTGATGTGCATCTGAAGTTTTTGATCACTGTAGAAATCAAGAGAAATGATAACTATCACAATTTCTTTCCACAGTGCTGACGTTTGCATGACCACAGTGATTGTGCCACACACAGTAGCATGGAATCAAAAAGAATGCATATTATTGTCACTGTGTTAAATTGAAACATTGTTACAGTCACTGTGTAATAAGTCATCACAGTGCATGGTATTTTGCATGGTTGCAGTGTGTTTTTGTTTCAGGATGCATGTGGTGGCATGCACTATGTGTGATTTTGCCTTTACTTGCTTTCTAAAATGTGAAATTAATATGGTTAGTATCAGAAAAACTTTGTTTCAGGAGAAGGTCTTTGAATCCATAAAAGTATGGAGTATTTTAGAGAAAATGTTTACTAAAAATGTCACTAAAGGTTGTCAATGTATCATCTTGTTCGCTGTTTCTGATTGATCTTCACAATGTGTACAGCAGTCTGAGGAGCCAGTGCAGGCAGTGATGACCACTGAAGTGCCTGTAGTTCATACCGAGACCAAGACCATCACTTATGAATCTGCTGAGGTAAACTACCAGTATCAATATTATTACCCTATTATTGAGAGTTCACTTCATACCTGTTTTTTACACTTTTTCATAATTGTTTTCAATGGAAGTAACATGTTTGCTAGCCATTTTCACATAAAACGCGAGGTACCCTTCGCTGCAGTTCAGGCACTCTGAGTTGAAAAACTCCTAACGCTCATATAGCCTACGTCATTAGCATTTTTTGGTGCTCACCAATCAGATCAAAAGGTAGGTACACTTTCATTGACAGCTGGAGAAGGGATTAGTGGCTGCAGTCACAAATTCATAGACAAGTTTAGCTTGTTTTTGCTAGCAGCACAGGTCTCCACTCCATGCTTGCTAGTTCGTTGGAGATCAGTTTCCAAATTGGTGAGAGTCAGAGCTCTCTGCCTGTACATTTCAAAGCTAGAGATGGTACGATACCACTTTTTTTTTTTCCAGTATCGATACTGGAACCTTGAGTATCGGCCAGTACTGACACTGATATGATGTATTTTTCTTTAAAAACTTCCATGTTTAGATTATCATGCTAAAACTACTCAATAACTCTGCTGCCTCCAGGAAGAAATACACAGCTAGAATCACATCATACAGTGTGACTGTGTGCCATTTCAATATAGATTGTTACAGGATTGAATCAGATTCATTCTTTTTTATCTTCCAATATCCGATTCAGCATTTTCCATACCAATACCCATCAATACTTAAATGCCATCTCTAATCACAAATACAGTGTGAACCCCCAAGAAAAAGATCAAGCAGTGCACCTTGTGTGTTTCTGCTTTTAGAAAAAATGCAATGTGACCACCCCCGTGCCCCCCAGTCACCTTATTTGGAGGTACTTAAATATTTGCAGATGATTTGATATTGCTCATTTTTATTAACCATGAGGTGTATGTTGTGTCTGTCATCTACGTGGATGAATGTGAAGGTCGATGCTAACGGTGGAGACCCTGGAGTTCTGATGAGTGCACAGACCATCACCTCTGAGAACAACAGCACCACAACCACTACACACATCACAAAGGTCAGTGTGCTGAACCCTGGGCTACTGGACTTAACTACTGTGTGTTAGTGCAAAATCAACAGTCACTGAAGACAAATCAGGCAGTAGGACTGTTTGATTGCTCATGCTCTTTCTCACAAGTTTGTCTCCTTTTTTCATCAAAGTACTTGTTGCTTCTGCTTTATTGTTTTTTGCTTCATGCTTTTGTGGGCTTTTCTCTCTGCCACTATTCTCTTGTGTCTGCTCATGTCCATCATTTATGGGCTTGATTTCACTTACCATTGGTCAGTGTGTTTTGACCTTTAATATAGAAGTAAAGAGAGTAAAATCTCTGCAAAATTTTCTTTCATGATCCCCTCCACTTTGTTCTTATAGTAATCTTGTGAGTGAGGATCAAAAACACCTGCATCTCATCATTTTTATCCATCATTCTGTTCATCATTGGTGTACAAACAAAAACCTGTTCTTTCTCACTGCTGCATTTCTGTTATTGGTTGCTGTTCACTCTCTTGTTCATTCATCCATTCATCAACCTGCCCATCCTTGCACTCATCCTTCCATCCGTCAGTTCCTAAGCTTGCTTGCTGGCTGCACTCCACCTTCTTGTGAATTACTGTATACTTGGATGTGAAGCCTCATAAAGTAAAGAACATGCTCTGTACTTGATCATTCCCCATTTCATCTTCTTACACATTAAGCCCTGTTTACACCCTGTCTGTGCCTCTGCTAGACGGTGAAGGGAGGCATCTCAGAGACGAGGATTGAGAAGAGGATTGTCATCACGGGAGATGCAAACATTGATCATGACCAGGTACTGAGACTGGTTCTCCTTCTGTACTCACCCAGCTAACATTCATTGACTGATACTGTACCATTCAGAGAGACAAAGGAGTGGTTTTATTACAGAATATACAGAGCAATGGTGTATGTTCACTGTTCCAGATGTTTGCCTTGTAGATGTAGAGTGGTCAGAGGTGAGGACTCAACTCACATGATTTGGAGGCTTAAATTTGATGACTTCAGACTTGACATGACAAACTCAAACAAGACTTGTGATTCGACTTTGTCTTCAACACTACGACTTTGACTTAGACTTGGACTTGGGCCTTATGATTCGACTCCCAAAGTGGACAAAGCTTGGAGAGGTGTCTGGTTGCTTACTGGTGTTACTAATCAGCCTAACTCACCATTTTTCTTCATAACAGATCAAATAATCTGGGCTCTCTTTATTTGATCTACTTCCGTGGCTGCTGCAGTTAACTGACGCAGTTAAAATTTGTGCAGTTAAGCGTTTTGCTCTTTTTTCTGTAAACTTCATTCAGTGCAGGGATTTTGATTTTTCTTGTTTGTAATCTACATTCAGCGCCTGTTTTTAGTTTACATTCAGCTAATTAGAGTCGTTGTTGTGTGTCACATGAAAACATGCAATATATTCATTATAATGATTTATTTCAATGCGCTAGAACTGTCACTCGGATAAGAAGCACTAGTCAGTGCTATCAAGCTAAGTTGCCAGCTATGTTTGTCCTTATCACCTACCAACAAGAGAAACTCTAAAACAGAAGGGTGCCAGTGTTAAAGGTTGAAAGGAACCACAAATGGTTTGAAAAATATTTCCAAAAACATTCAACTGTTAGGTAGTTTTTTGTTTTGTTTTGTTTTTAAAGCACTCAAAGTTTAGGACTTGACTGTATTGCATGGGACTTGACTTGCTGCCACCTCTAAGCATAGGCAAACATTACTGTGCTCAGCAGTTTTATCCAGTGCTGAACTTCTGCTTCTGTTCTAACACTAAGTAAACCCACCAAATTCAAACACAGCAAATAAACGCTTCCCTGATCATTACTAATCACAGTCATTTAATTATGAAACAATCTTGCTCTGAATCTTCAGATTTGCAGCCAACTTGTAATCATGGTTTGTGATATGAACATACCAGAATGTTTAAATGTGCTACATAAACAATGTATCATCATTAATTCAATGATTAATGATTCTTCCTTGCCTGATTCTGATAATCCTCCTGTGTGCCCTGTCCTCTGTTTCCCCCTGGTGCTCTTGCATGGGATTGCTCTGAGCTAGGCTCTGGCTCAGGCTATAAAAGAGGCTAAAGAGCAGCACCCAGACATGTCGGTCACCAAGGTAGTGGTTCATAAAGAGTCGGAGATCTCACTTGGTGAAGGTGGCCAGTGATACAGGTAAGGGGGGAAGCTGGTCTGCCTCCATCAGATTGTAGGCTTTCCACTACCTGTGGACGCATGCTAAGTTCAGCTCTGTGCTCTTTTAGCTGTGTATGGTTTTTGCTTTGTGTGCGTTTGTGTCTGGTTTCAGTGCAGAGCTGTTATTGTCAACAGCTATGCTCACTCGCAGTGCACAGTGCTTTCGCTTTGTAGTGTTATTTGCCTTTTTGTTAGTGCTGCTACACAATGGAGGATACTCAGCTTTCAAAACTGTTTCTGTTGTATAGATTTAGATCAGCTATTGCAGTCAATCATTTTTCTAATATGGCTTAAATGATGTACAGAGCTGTGTATGTGCTTGTTTATATATCACCATTCAAACTATCTATGCAAGTCCTAGTGCTTACAGATGTTGTAGTCTATAATTTGTAGTCAGTTAACCGAGAACTATTCTCACTACATGGTGTGTTGCTCAAACTGAAGCAGGTGACATTCTAGGTGGCATTCAGGTAATTCCTACACTATATAACAACAGTTTGGGATTTTACTGTTTTCTTGTTGAAAAATAAGTCAAACCAAAGATGTATTTGGATTTGGAAGCTGATGCCACCACTTGCTGTGCCTACTGCCTCTACCATCTTTAGCCTTTTAACTGATTAAATGAAAAACTTAACACAGAACGCAGAAGTAGTTAATTAGCTAGAGCAGGTGAGGCTGATTAAGTATGTGGTACAAAGGCAACAGTGCTGTGTGATTATTTTGGGTAAAAAGTACCATGTAGTTATATGTTTAAAAATACTGTACATTAATAAAGTACAAAGAGCCTTACTGTTACAGTATATGCCTGTTTTGCCTGTAAAAGACAGAAATGTCCCTTACTATGGATTTACTGGGTCCTAACCATTTATTCAGGAAACTGTCTTTGTATTTTGTGCTGTAATTTTACACCAAATAACTTGGAGGTGTTTCCGATTTACTGCTTAAATGTGTAACATTTCATTGACAGTTAGGGTGAGTATGTTGGTACTTGCCACCTTATTAGTCCAGATATTTTTGAGGTATTGTACTATTTCTATACATTTAATTATAGCTAGAACTTGTTAGTAATTTCAGTGTAATTTAGTTGGACTGTCTTGGTACTTATCATTTTCCCAACACAATTACACAGCACTTTGGAGGTTGTAATTTAGTCAAACTGTCTCTGAACCTTCATGTTACACAGAATAATTATCTAGTAGCTCACACTTTCCTGATAAACACATAAAACTTATGTAAAAGTAAATGTAAGGGAATAACTACAGTTAGCATGGTAGTCGTTCTAATTATTCAATAATAAGCCTTAGAATGTAACATGCCAGGGATTTCAAGAGGGTAAAGAGCTTCTGTGACTGTGCTGTACAGGATAAAATCTTACTGATTAGGCAGTATTACTGCGGGTTCGGTTCAGTTGAATAAGAGAAAAGTAAAATAAGTATTTCTTTTTACTCAAGTGAACTGAAAATAAACTTAAGAAACGTTCTATATTTAAGAAATAGGGAAGTGCTGTGGGTGTGTAGGGCTTGTGACCTTTGCAGCCATCAATGTGTGCATGCACAAGCTTTTGGATTATGAAGTATCCCAAATGCATGGCCGTCCACCTGTACTTGGCCTGCTTTTCTTTTCTGGCATCGTCTCTCTCTTCTCATCAAGGTCTGCTTGTTCTGCTGTATCTCTTTTACATTGCTTTTGTTCCTTTTTTCTGTATTTGAATGGGAAACTGTTTTGCTCGCTTCAGAATGAAACCTTGGCACCCCTCTCATGCTGTGTGAATGAGGGGAACATGGCTTCTGTTTATGACTGACCTGAACAGTGGGGATTCCTGATCTTCTGCAACACTTTAATCTCTAACATCTTTAACATCTCATGTGTTGCGTTGAAAGCTTTGTTGTGTCTTTGTGAATATGTGCCAATGTGGTGTTTGTGTGTGATTAGCTTGAGAAACGAGGGATTGTTCCTTTAATACAGTGGAGTCCAAAGGTCTGAGACTACAGTCAAAAAAATTTTTCAATTTGAACTAAACAGCAGAAAGTTTTAGAATCTTGGAAAAATGTAAACAAAGAAAAGTTATGACAATTAAAATGAAGTATTTGAAATTCTGCACTATTTCTAGGTCACTATTGAAATTGAAGCCAGTTTGTGAAATTGACCATGGCATGTTTTTTGTACAAAAAGGTCAGATTTTGTCTTATTTCTTCCTTTGAAACACATGTTCAGATGATCCTCAGATGGATTTGATCTACCAGTCAGAGGCTTTTGCACAAACTTACGAGGTCTGTGTCATTGAAGCAAAAGTGGGACATAATCAGAAATTCTGAAACTCATGTAAACATTCAAAGATTCTACTTTTCACTCTAATTGATATCATTTATAATGAACTTTATATTAAGTTAGAAAGGAATGCAAAATAGAAGCACTTTCACCAGCGGTCTCAGACTTTTAGACCCCACTGCAGTTATTGTTTTTGTACTGAAATGAATGTGCTATGAATGACTTGTATGTGCTGCATGCTCTACCATGGAATACTTAAGGATTGTGTACCAACACTGCAGTTATTTCACTCATAATTCTGCATACGTGCCCTAACTGCTCTCTCTCTTCTTGTTTTTTTAGGAGTAAGGGCCAGTCTGACAGAGAACAGTGCCATTTTCCCCATCCCATGGACATATGACTCCCGCCACCTCCGAGTCATGACTTTTGACCTCAGACACAGAACGCACTCCTTATGTGCCGGACAGTGGAGAAACAACCATTAAAACCCACTCTGCACATCAGCTTGGTACCTTTCGGTGTCCTCTTAGGGCGCACAGTGCCATCGACATGATGACGACGCCAGCTCTGCTTTTTGATGGAATTATGAAACTTCACTGCTAACAGCAATAATATCAAGAGGCCATAAACTCATACAGCACTCAAAACCACCAGAATGGGAGAAATCGTCTCAGAAACACAATTTGTTCGACTGCCTTAATCAGAGATTTTTAATCAGAAAGTGTTTAATTTATGCAACTTCAATTTATTTATAGTCCAACACTCCAATCCGAGAACTGTGGACTCATTTGAATATATATGAGGTAAAATGAAGTATGCAAAAACAGCAGACTGAATCACCGTGCCAACTGCATTGCAAGGCTAAAATCCCCTCACTCTAGTATTCCAGGATTTTCTCCAGCGAGAGCCAGTTTTGCTAACACAAATTAAGCCTAGGGATTTTCAGTGGAGGAATGTGACAGTTGAGTTTAGTCCCATGACTAGGTTTAATCTGTATGTGGAAAACCAACCCAAAGTCTACAGATACTGAGTCTTTGTACATACAGTATATATATGCTTGTTAGCTGAAACAGCATTAATTTTCTCTATGGAAATGTTTCTACTTGCTTCATAAAAGTGATTGTTTTACATTTTTATTTATCCTGTTCACCAAATACAAAATGGCAAAAAAGTACTAGAAAGAAAAACTATGGCACTATTCGAAGGGCTGCTTCTAGTTTACTTGGTAACCCAAAAATATGGACTCGTGTTTTTGTCTTTGTTGTTTTTTGTTTGTTTGTTTGTTTTTTCTACCCCTCCCGCTCCTCACCCCAACACCCCCAAACCCCCAACCTCCCACTCTCGCTCCCACCCTTGCTACCACCCTCACAGTTGTGACATGAAGTGGACTGACTGGGGCTTTTTGACCTTGAGGCCACCATTCAGAAGTTAAAATCTGACGGTGCTGGAACTTCATCTTACTTTTGATAGAACCAATCCAGTAGGTCTCTTTATCCTAAACACACAGCCTCAGTTACACAAACTACACAAACATTGTGATTTTTTTTGTTGTTTTATTTTTGAATAAAATATTATTGAAATCAACTGACATTTCTAGTCCTAGTCATATGTGGCTGTTAGGCATATAGAGGTAATTCTGTTAAATTCCCTTCAATTTCCTGATTTAAAAGGGAAATTGGATGTTGTTGTTTTTTTTTGCTCAGTGGAGTTATAATTTTTTTGTCCACTAGGTGGTGCAGGATTTTAAAGAATGATTCACTCCTTCCTCAACGGCTGAAGGAAAGTTTTTTTTTTTTTAGCTCTGGAGTGAGATCCTTTGGCAGACATACTAAAAATGTGTTCTTTTTAACCATGACTCAGTGCCCACTGTTCTAGTCAGTGATTTTACATTTTACTCACTCTGCAAACTATCTGTTTATTATGAATGCACATGGGTTTATAAGTCACTATGACTCTGTAGGCCTATGTTACAAATACAGAGTAACAGAATACTAAATACTGAGTTTAGATGGTAGGAAGCTCATCTGTTTGTAGCAGCCCAGTATTCCTCTCAGCCCAAATGTCTCTCTCACTTCTACTCAACGCCAGAGCTTGCTGATCTTGAGCAATCGTTATTATTAAACACAGGTTCAAAGCTTTATTCCTCTCTAATAAGCTATAACTGGTTAGTAAACATCAAATCTAGGAGCTCATTGTCTTTGGTTTGCAATCACAGTAATTCATTCTTAATAACAACCAGTAATAGACTTCACTTCCAACTCCCACCACCCTACCTGTCACCAAGAGAAACGCTCAGCTAGCTCAGAGACCCTCCCTGATACCATGTTTCACTCAGAATTACACCACAGAATGGAAGTAAATGCGCTTTGATTTCTGATTCACATAGACTTTAAAGCGATAGTTAAATTTGAAAAATTCAAGTTACACAAATTTATCCTTGTTCCAAATGTGCTTTGTTGCTAACAAACACTGGAAGTCAATAGTCACCCAAAGTTCTTTGCTGTAAATACAGCCCTAAAACTTCTCACAGAATGTGCAGAATTCTGACTCCCTGCATAATCCTTTTGTGTGTAGACACGTCACACAGGCATATGGACGGTGCAGAGTATGTTTGCAATTTCTGTTGTTTCTATTTAGAAACATACATGAACAATCGTGTAAACGTACTCTAGTGTCTGTATGCTTGTGTGATGTGCAAGTATGTGTAGAGAACTTGGACTGTGGAGCTGGAATTCATCGAAAGTGGCTGCATGCAGTGTTCAGCTACCCCATGAAGTTTGTTCATTTTTATAGTGAGTCATACTTTACACCTGTTGTGTAGAAAATCTTCCCCCAGTGTTCAGCTACACAGTGAAGTATTGTTCATTTTCGTGGCTTACAGTAAGTCATACTGTCCCCTAATCCACATTGATATGTCTGTATGGCCTTAATGAAGACATGGACACAGTTTGAGCGAGTTGAGAGAGGTTTTCTGCACGTATTCACAGAAAAGATTTGGGTGACTATTGATTTCAAGTCCTTGTTAGCAATGTTAGCCTTGTAGCTCCACCACAAAACTAAAGAAGCAGAATTTGGACACTAAACATCTTGGTTGTTCAACTACATCTGGGGTAAGTGGAAAGTTGTGTAAATTAGATTTTTTGATGAACTATCGCTTTAACTAGATGCAAAAGCATAGGCAGGCTTTGGGCTCCGACGTGTATGTAAAGTGTTCTGTGTGGAAAAGTGACGTCAGGCTCTGAGCAAGATGGATGGTTTTAGTTAAAGCAGTGCTGGTGGCAGTTAGTTATACCACAGATCTGCTTTCTGCGTTAGACACATGGAGTGGCAGTGCATTACAGTCTACCACAAGTCTGCTTTCTGCATTTGTTCATGTCTCTGATCTAAACGTCCCAATGTACGCAGTAATGAGTGACATAGTCTGGGTTTTAAGACAGGGAGTATGTGTGCGTGTGTGTGTGTGTGCGTGTCCTCATTCGGGAACATGGACTAATATTTGACTTAAGTTAACGTTCCTCATATCTTCATGCAGCGCCTGTACCAGTGTAGGATTATGTACTGCATTCATGGAAGATGGTACCTGCATTTCAGTCATTATCATTGTGTGTGTGTGTGTGTGTGGGTGTGTGGGTGTGTGCGCGCACATGTGTGAGAGAGTCAGCTGGTTTCCATTAGCAGGAGGTCGTTCCTGCTGTGCCAGACCACAAGCCTCCCTTCTCCTGCTCGCCTCCACCCTGCAGAGCCATACAGCCTCAGGCGTCCCTGAGTCCTACACTACACTCTGTGTGACTACACTGTACTGAACTACAGTACCCAACAGCACTCTCATAATAATATAGCACTACAGCAGTGGCACCAGACTTATACTAGGACACTCTCTATACTCCAATTACTATTTTACACTGCAGTCCTTAGAAGGGCTATCTGTAATGATGCATAAGACCAATTAGTGCTACACTGTATACCAGCTGTATTTAACTAAAACTTGTGAAGGTCCAGTTACATCAAACTTTTAACATCCTGCGGTCAGGACAAAACCTTATAGCTCCAAAATCGTAACTTTGCTGGAGAAGAAAAACTGTTCTTAACTTTAATTGAAGTTTTTTTTCTTTAATATTCGAGGTACAAGGCTAACATTGCTAACAAGGACTTGAAGTCAATAGTCACCCGAACCTTTTCTGTAAATACGTGCAGAAAATGTATTATTATTATTATATGATGTAACATTATTATTGGTTGTTTTTAACCATTTATATTAATCCATTCATCAACACATTTTTACTTAATGTAAAGGAGAGCAAACAAAAATGGAGACACGAGGGTTTTGTTCAGTATCGCTGCTGTCGGGAGAAAACCTCGTGTCTCCATTTTTGTCGTTTTTCAGTTTTTGACATAATGTGAAAATACCTGTCACTCTTTACACTGTGTGGAAATTTCATGAAGAATGGACCAACAGAAACGGCCCAAAATGACTTGGCAAAAAGTCTGGTTGACTTTTGCCTTCTGTAAAATTATAAATTTGGAGATACAAGGTTTTCTTCCAACAACAGCAAGATATATATATTAAACAATGCTAATTGCAGTGATATAAGCTTCAATCACCTAAATACCTGTTAGCTACATTAGCCTCATAGCTCCAGTACCAAACTAGAGAAGCAAACTTAAGACACCAAGCAAGACGGATTGATTACATTTGGCATAGCCAGATGAAACGTGGTGTTGAGTAGTGGAGAGAGAGACCAGTTTATTAGCTGTTTCGGATCCCCTCAAGTCTGCAGGGTCAGCAGTGATGACCTGATAACCGTGCATGCTGGGGTGTGTATGTGTGTGCTTGTGTATGAGCAAGTGCACCTGCGTCCACAATAAAAGCACAACAATTGTGGCATTTTAAGAATTCTTATGCAAATAATACAATTTCTGCCTTTTTTAAATAGTAAGAGTGACTGCACACCAAACAAAAGACACAGAAGGGAATGAGAGAGACACTCCATAAAGTGATAGTTTGGTCAGAAATCATGTTTACTCAGTTTTTGCCACGCTCCAAATGTAGATCACCAAAGACATTTACTGTCTGAAGTTTGCTTCTTTAGTTTTGTGCTGGAGCTACGAGGCTAATGTAGCTATGTTGTGTCACACGTGGTCATATTTTATAGGACAAATCAGCAACAGACATACTTCGGGGGGACAATGCAGGTAGCTCTGCACTGGTACAACAGGATTTGTATTTGTTTCTTGACTAAGATATTGGAAAAAACAAAGCTTTTCAAGCTGATTTTCCCAGATCAATATGTGTTTCTATGCTTAGTTGTTGTCATATAATCATGAAAATGCTCCAGCCACACATTTCACTGCAGAGTTTAATAAGGAAACATTGAGTTTATAGTTGTCACTGCATATTATAAAGAAAAGGGAACCAACTGAACTGACGGTTGTAGTTCATTTTCCCGAGACAGTTGTTCTCAAGAGACAGCAGGAACCTTTTATAACACCCAGATTAAAGATTTAATGGTATTTTTGGCCATAAGTCACTCTATTATGCTAATTTGCTACCTTGCTTGCTAGTTAGCTTACCTTACCAGCCGAAATAAACCGTTACACTGCACTGTTCTGCATTCCCACACTCAGACTCTTTGCACAGGATCATGTGTAACGTTCATCAGTCAGAGCTTCACATTTTCTCTGTTGAGGGTTAAAATATGAGCAAAAACACTCATTCTGGGCCTGAATGGGCCTAGCTTTAGCTTCTTAACTAGCTTAGCAAACATTTTGCAGTAATAATTCTAAAAAAAAAAAGTCAACACATCAACTTACCATCAACATACCATTTTATTTTACATTCTGGTGCTCTTTTTGGTCTTGTAACAGTGCTTGCTAACTTCATCTTCATCAAGAAGAGCAAAGGATTCACTAAACTGTTGCTAACTTCAGCTTGTGCAAGTGTTAGCAAAGACAGCCTCCCTCACCGCTTTTAGTAGCTCTACCTGAAAACATCAAAAACTCTTGAATGACTTCATTGGAATATTAGGGTAGTTAATTTCTATCAGGTTTGATGTTTTTGCTTGGGTAAGTGTGGTGTTTTCCCATCTAAGCCCCCGATCAGAATCACCACTGGCATCCGCCTCACAAAGTGCTGACCAGTCCATTATGCTATATAATTTTTTTCCATTTTTATAGATAACAGTGCATGAAATATGTAAAAGAAAAGTTGAACCATTGCTTTAAGAAGTGCTCTCATTTTTATTTAAAGCAAAAAATTAGATTTCTGAATCTTGCAAACACATTGTGATGATTATGAATAGTAACTACATATAATGGCTGTAACTCACTGCAATAGTATTATAGCAGGAACTTATATGAGGCTACCTTTGTTCTTGGGAGCACACAGAGCCATATGTGTCCAGCACAGCATACCACACACACACACTGCATGGCTGCAGCTCTCTCAGTGTGGGACTATGTGTGTGATCTGTGGTGCATAACTCAGTTTAATTAAATTCCTCAGCTTCTCATTCCCTATCTCCTAAATCACTTCGAGTTGGCCCTGTTGTCTGCTCTGTATGTCTGCTCTGTCTGCTCTGCAGGTAGAGTAA